CGTGTGCTCGCGTGTCTCCCCGAGTCCATGTGCATGTACCGCTGCGCCCCTGCGGCCCCCGCCCGTTGCCTTCGCATCCCGGCGTGTCCGTCGCTGTCTTTGTTTCTGTGTTTGCTTGCGGGTTCGTAGCTATGCGTGGCGAGTGCATTGTGGGTTTGCCTGGGAGCGTGGTGTCTGCGCTGGCTCAGGGAGCGGTGGCTCTGCGTTGTTTCTGCGCTCCCAGCTCGCTGTGTTTGCTCAGTGGTTCAGCTTCATTCGTATATCATCTCCCTCTGTGTCTCTTTTTTTTTTTCTTTGGGGGGGATCTCCCTCTGTGTCTCTTTTTTTTTCTTTGGGGGGGAGGGGGGGGGGATATCTCTGTGCTTGTTCTTCCCTGTGAGTTTGCAGGTTACTCCATGTTTCCTCGCATCATTTCTCTAACAGATTTCCAGTGATTTTTCTCTGGGGGGGAAGTTCCCCTTTTCCCCGCACCACAAATCCTTCCTACAAGATAACAATACACCAACTTGAACAATTTCAGGCTTGGGAAGAGAATAACCCAAACTCTTCATGGGGAAGGGAAGCTCCCCCACAACAGATTACAAGCAGCTGCATGTTTTAAAACCCTGACTGAGGCTGTGCAGGGAGGTAAAGTGGAGCGTGCAGGAGTGGATGTGGTAGCAGTTGTGGAAGAAAATATTAAAGTTGGGGTATCTTTTGCATCGCCTGTTGTTTCAGGGTGTAACTGGCCAGGCTGTCTCCCTATGCCCTGCTTGGGGTTGTGTTCCTGTAACCCACTTTACCTGCTGTGGCCCAGGGCGCTGAAGGCAGAAAGCTGCGACCACCAGAGCACACGCAGTGGGATGGAGTTTCTAGATTTCTTTCAACATGGATGCTGTGTTCTGGTGCTTCCCTCCCTCCCCCAAATCCCTATTTATTTATTTATATTTGTTGTTAAGGAAAAACCTGAAAAGTGGAGTCGTTCCCCAAATTAGCAGCTGTTAGTGATGAGAAGGCGCTTGCTGGGGTTGGAGCTGAGCCGTGTATAAGATTAGCTGTGGCGTGGAGCTGTGCTGGGACCATGTGACTGCGGTGTACATTGGAAGAGGAAGCTGTAGAGGTCAATGCAAAGGCATTGTGCCAGACTCTGGCAACAAGGGAGAGAGCTGTATGGCGGAAGATGGCTTTTTCAGGCTCCTGAGCCTTTAGGTGGCTGGTGGGGTTGGACAAAAGCAGGCCTGTCAGGTTAACAGCAGAAATGAAATGGCAGGGCTCGTTTGTGGATGGAAATAAAAGCTGTTTGTTTCTTTTTCCAGATGCTTTGTAGGGTTTTTATTAATCACCATGTGTGTCTCTTTCACTAACCCCACCTTTATTGGAATGAAAACTGTTGTGTTTAGGGGAGTTTCAAGAAAACAGAGGGGAAAATGGGGGGGGGGGGGAAGAAGAGTGTTGCGTGTTCGTGGTAACATCCACCTTGGTGTTTCTCACAAAACTTGTTTTTAAGCACTTTGATTTGACAGAGCGTTCAATCCTGTTATTTCCTCTCTGAACATAAACAGATCAACAGCTTCAAGTTTAGGTTGTGGACTACTGAGGAATAAATAAAACCTGCTGATGCTTGGGCCGTTTGTGCTCTTTTGGAATCTCTTGATGTGAACGGGTGGTTGTTGGTAGGTAGCACTGTCTTAGAACAATTTTGTTAGTGTGATGTATTTTACATCTGACCTTTTGGAAACAGAGAATAATTGGTTCCTTAAGGATTTGGATTTTCTCACTTGAAACCAACATGAACCTTTAATACCCAACACTGCCCATAAACTGAGAATTTCCATGTTGGGTTTTTTTTTGTGCGCGTTTTATGAGCAATTATTCAATCTGTGACTTTGTGCAATTTGGCTGGAAGAAAGGCCACTTCCTTTCTGGGCTTCTTTTATTGTTTTTAAATTCTATCTGACTTGTAATCAACAACATCTTGGTAGAGAAAACATAAAAAGGAGAAATTAACAAAAAAAAAAATGTGTTTGGGAGGGAAGGACTCATATTTTGAAGTGGAGCATATTGAGAGTGTAGACAGCTTCTTGGCGAGCTGTGATTTTTGAAGCATCTGAAATACCCCAGGGGCAGAAAAAGCTCTCTTCCTGCTTCCGAAGGATAAAAAAACCCCAACACAATTCCAGAGCGGGCAAGAGGAGAGACGTGGAATTACACAAGGAGAGGTTTTAATTGTGAGATGAAGGCGCAGGACCTTTTTTGAAGCCCACAAATTGACTGTCTTCATGACAGCATTGCGTCTCATTCTGTCAACTCGGGCTCGGGATGTGGTTGCTAGGCAGCGGGCTCTTATGTACCTATAGTCGCTCTGATTTGCCAGCCTTCTGCAGACACATGGTAAGGTCCTTTCCAGCCTATCATCTAGAGGGACTTTTGCACGCCGTCTGCATACTGCTGAGATTCTCTCTACCTGAATGTGATGAGAAAAAGATACAGTTAAATGAAGCCTTTTTTCTTTCTTTCTTCCTTTTTTTTTTTTTTTTACGAATTCCCTTCTCGTACTGTTTCCATAATCCCCCTTCCAACAAAACCCCAACCCCCAAACAAAACCCAACCTAAAAAAAAAAGCCATGAAACGGAGACCGGAACAAGGAAAAGAGGTTAGTGGGTTAAGTGGTGTGTGTTTCCTGCGTTTGCAAAGGTGCCTCTAGTGAGGAGGGCGGCTGTAATTCGGCCATTAGTTACAGATGGTGGCTGGAGGCTTGAGATTCGTGCAGCGAGATGAAAGCTCTTATCTCTTTCCAGTGATGCTGACTTTAAACTGCTTTGAAAACCTGAACCAAGACAGCATTAAGAAAAAAGAGTGGATTTGATACTTAGCGATGCTGCCAGCTCGTTCCTTGATGTATTTTGATGCAGAAATGCCTAGAAATGTGAACAAAAAGGAGTTGATTTGCCAAATGAGGTTTCTGTCCCCCAATCTTTGCAGAAATAGCAAGTAGTAAAGAACATTCAGGAGGATTTATTAAGCAAATGAGATTTTTCAAAACTTTGCTCTTTGAAGCCATTTGTGTACAACTTCTGGTGAAGGTTATGGCTCTTTGAGCAGTGGAGGAGAGCATTAACCAGCTCACCCCGGGGACTGGCCGTGCCATAAGAAATACTTGTGAACAGCATAACTTTTAATGTTTTTTGCGTTCCTTAACTCTGAAAGCTTTCGTTCCAGTTGTGTGAATAGCAAACTCAGATGTTTCTCAGCAGAAACCTACTTCTGGTTACTTCATGAGACAAATCCAGTTCTGTAAATGCTGGAACTTAATTGTTGGCAGTAGTATCGCACACGCAGTTAATCTCTGCAAATTAAGATGTGGGAAAAACCTGTTCCAGACTGATTCATTTTTGTCCTTCACTCTGCTTTACAGGTACTGTTTGATGAGTGTGAAAGGATGCTTCACTGATTTTCATATTGATTTTGGTGGCACTTCAGTGTGGTATCACGTTTTCCGTGGGGGGAAGGTAGGTGAACCGTGTTTGATATTTGGGTTTATTTCTCTATGCCTCTTTTGGAGAGGAAGGGTTGCTTGCTTTAGCTTTTCCTTTATTTTCTCCTTTTTTGGGGGAGGGGGCTAGTCAGCGATCAGTCTATTTCAGCTCCCTTTGGTGGTGTGTGCAGGGTTTGCTGAACTAGAAGGACACCATTCACCTTAAGGAAACAGACCAGTAATTTACTTGAAATACAAACTGAGTTCTTTGCTGGTGGTGGTGCTTTTAGGCTTGCTATTGCTGCATGGTTTAGAAGTGTCCTGCAGTGAGTATGTGACTGTGTATACCCTTGTTGGGTCAGAGTGCCCTCAAGTCTCCTGTATCTAGAGCTGCTGTTCTCTTTTAGAGATTCCATGTTCCTTTAGTGTGCACATGCACTCTATGCTGGAACTGAAATACTACAGGATACAGAAACATTGTCATATATAGCATGGACAGCTATATTTGCATCTGTACTGTTTTAGGCTGTTCTTCCCAATTGTAGTATAGACAGGGTATTTTGGGAACTGAAATAAATGGGTCACAGGTACTGTTCATCTATATAGTCCACTGAAGTTGTACTGTACCAACACACTCTTTTAAACAGCAAGTAAATTGTGCAGGCATCTTCTGAGTAGGATGTTTCATGGAAGAGAGATGCCGACTGACAGTTACCTTGCCACATCCAGCACATGGACTAGTTGCTGCTGCTGCCTGCTGTGTGCTTCCGTGCACAATACCTGGGAAACCTGTGTTTTATGCAGAAAGCAGGCTTGGTGTTCCACGTTTGTTTGTCTAATACATGATAACCTTGTTGGAGCCTCTCAGATTTGTATTTTTGTTGACTGGTGGTAATAGTTAAATCTTTCTTTTATTTTTAGATCTTCTGGCTGATTCCGCCTACTCTGCAGAATCTAGAACTTTATGAAGAATGGGTGCTCTCAGGAAAGCAAAGTGATATCTTTCTGGGAGACAGGGTGGAACGATGCCAAAGAATTGAGCTGAAACAAGGCTATACGTTCTTCATTCCTTCAGGTAGCACTTGTTAACTGACTGGGTTTTGAATTGCTGGAATTGTGGTTGACTTACAGCTCTCTGTAAAACTATTCTTCACCTCTAAACCCTGCATTGACTCTTCATTTGCTGTAGCAGAAGACAGGCTAGGGTCTGAGCGCACTTAAATATGCAGACTGATGGAAAGTGTACTGTGAGGAAGTGTGTGCAGTGATCTCTTGTGATGTGCTGGGCAAAAGGAGAGAGGACTTGGAGCTTTGGGGCTGTCAGTCCACCACCTCTCATCAGAGTCATACTGACTTTTGCTGTTGTTACCTTTCTTGGAAAAAAATATTCTTCTGGTTTTGTGATCTCTCCTGGCAAGTTTCACCTGCAGTTCAGTAACCCTCTGCTTTGCCTGTCTGTAAGCCAGAGGTGGGTCTTGATTCCCTGATGGATCTCAGCAGAGATTCCAGTCCATGGAAGAGCAGGCCCCGTGCTCCCTCAGGGTTGCTTCTTGGGGAAACAACTTCATTTTATTGTCATAATTCTCCAGAATTTCTGCTGATGGAGATTGTGTGAATCTGGACACCTTCCAGTAGCCCAGCCATACTTAATTTTACACTACTGCCCACCTCAATAGCTGTGTTGGATGATTCAGGCTCTTCTTGCAAAGCAACCAAATAGTTGCTGCTTTCAAGGCTGGTGGCTTCAGCCCTTTCTGTTCCTGCCTAACTTGGATTAAGGATAGTGAGATGATACCAGACTTTGCTTTCTTTGGCTATTATGGGACTGTAAGTTAGTCTATAATGATAAAACACATTCTGTCTATTTAGTGGATCTTACCAGGGACATACAGGTAGCTATTGTAAGTGACAGGAAGACAGATTGGTAGTTTTTCAGTGGTAGAATGACTCTGTGGAGATAGGATTGTTGTTTTTCAATCCTGGAGTCAGAGAATGAAGGTTATGGGAAGACAGCAATGATGTTCTTGTCAACTAGGGAGCGTTGTTAGTATCAGTTGTAAGTACTGGATAAGAATCAGCCTGGGAGGTGACAGGCAAAATGACTTTGAAGGTGGAGGAGTTAATCCATTATAAAGGAATTAGGTCTTCCCTTGAAACAGGTCAGAATGTGCTGTTACTGTTTGAACTGGGTGTTTGAGTGTGCCTGAGCTGTTTGCTTTGATCCCGTTACTGCATCTTTGTATTTATCTTCGTTCCCTTGCGAACAGCCTCCTACGAATAAGACTTTCTGTATGTTAGTTTAGTCATTCAGCAGTCGGAATACAGCAAGTTGTGGGAGCTTGTACAGGACGCAGCTGTAACATGGTGGCTGAAGTGATTGCAAATGTGGGGTTTGACTTCAGTTTCTGTTTTCTCAGGAAGGCCCAAAGTACAGAAATGCTGATACCTCAAACACTTTAGGCTCTGTGCTGTAGTTGAAAGGCACAAATGAATAATTCCTCTAAGCAACTCATGGATTCAGGGGTTTTGGCTCTGCTGTGTTTCATTCAGAAAACTTATTTGCAAATCTCTTATTTATGTGAAAGGGCATTATTTCTATGTTTGTTTTAAGAGCATGGAAATGCCTAATTAAAGGCTGTTCCAGGTCAGTGAACTGAGTGTGGCTGTGTAAAATAGGTCAATTCCTACAACCCCTTTGCACTGGTTTATGTGCCTGTCACATTAGTTAATGTTTGAATGTGTTTTGTAGGTACTTTATAAGTGCTCATAGTGTTGAGGTTCCAGTAACGGGTGCCTACAAAATCAGTGCGTCCCATACTTTCCGTTAAGCCTGATAAACTCTTGACCAGCCTCAACTCATCCATGAGGAAAATGTGTTCTAATTACAGGTCTGGGCATGGAAAGTGTGGAGTGATACAGCTTGTGCTCAGCTGGGCTGTGAATGGGGAACATTTCAGGAAAGGACCTTTTCCATAAAATATCCTGTTCTGCTCCTGTTTTTAAGTAATTTTTGGGGGTGGTTATACCATAGCAGTGTAAGGATGAAGTAGGTAGAGAAGACTGTAACAAGACACGTGAGGGAGTGAGATCACAAGCTTGTGGGAGATGGAAGGTTTCTCTGGAAATCTGGGATCAGATCAGCAGTAGATCCAGTAAAGCCTTGGAACTACAAACCACTTGGACAAGAATGGGAATTATTCTTGCAGAAAGCGTAATTATAGTGCTCACCAGGGCCTCAGGGTATTTTCTTCTCCCTCACTGCCATCATCCTTTCAGGATTAAGTTTAAACCAGTTAATTTCTACCTGTGCTTCTAACCTGCCAAGTGCAGAGAGACATGATTACAGCTCTGGTATCAAGGAGAAATTGAGCAAGGTATTGTCAGCATAGTGAGTTGTTTCAGGCCAAGGTGCCTCTTGCAGCATTTCAGGAGTCCCTCTGAAGTATGGGCTGGGGGGAGTGAGCTTCTGAGGGATACTGTGTGGGGCCTTGCGTCAGAGCCGAGCTGTGCTCCTGATGGCCTCAGAGGACTTCTCCAAACAAGCAAAGCACCATTACAAGTTCTCACCTCCCACCTTCCCAGTTCCCACTGATGAGTCAAGGATGATCAACTCTGGTAAAGTGATAAAATCAACCAGGAATCTGGCTTCTGCCATTAATATAATTGTTTAAACCGATGTCAGCATAATTGTTGATTGATAGACATACACCACATTGTGTCCTGCTGAGGTTAGACGTGGATTCAAGGTGTTAAACCAGCTGAAGGCTCAAGAGGGGAGGAAGCTGTACTTGTTACCAATGTCAGCAAATGAGTATTTCTTTTTCTCTAGAAACTTGACTGTTGTTTTCCCAGGTTGGGGGAGAACTCGTCCTTATGCAGGAAGGTTTTGGGAAGGAATGCTGCAGGCCTGGGAGTGTTTTCACTGTGTGTGTTACCCTCAGCAATGTTTGATCTTTGGTTAAGTGTTCAACAGAGGTGAAATTTAGTCAGGGTAACACATCTTACTCTGCTGTAGTGGATTACTGAATATCTGACCTACATGCCAAATAGAAGGCAAGTTCTTTATAGAGTGTGCTTCTCTTTTCAGGTATAAACTGTGATGACCTGGAGGAGGAAAAGCATAATCTCAGTGTTCAGTTACTGTCTCAGGAGGGAAACAATGGAATTTTATCAGTCACAATCAAAGCTGGAGCTTGTCCAGTATTAATTGTGCTGTAGCTTTCTTCCATACCATGAGTGTGTCCAGTGATGACTTGCAGGGAGGATGTGTGAGGTGTTTGGAGTCCATCGTGGAGGTGTTGTGGAGAAGCAGTTTGGGTATCTCTTATCACTAAGGGACAGTGTTTGGGCAGCATCCCTCAGGTTTGTTCAGCTCAGGATTACTGTAGGCACATCATGCATTGGATTCCCTTTCATCTGGATTATCTGAAGACCACGTTAGTTTCTCCTGTGTACTCCTAAAAACTCTGTTGTTACTTAAACCCAAGCTCAAAACGAAGCATACACAAAGTATTAATCCTTTTTCAATCCATTCACTCTTTTGAGTCTCTTAGTCTTGTTGAATATGTCATTTTGATTGTAAGTGGTGGAGCTCTGACATGGATATTGTCCTTCCCCTTCCCTGTTGCCCTCCACAAACAAGGTATTGCAGTAGTTGGAAATATATTGAGCTTGTTTGCTTTTTTCCTCAATTTCCCACCAGGCATCTCTCAAAAACAAAGACCTTTCACACATGTCTATATATGCTTGGTGTAGAGACTTGTGCTTCACGTTCAAGAGAGTTTGCACATGCAGAATTGGGACATAGAAAAGCAGGCCAGTGAGTAGTCTCTTGTGGAAAATGTGTCTTGCGGTATTTGTCTCTGTTACTATTGTAAAATAAGGGTGTAACCATTTTGTGACTTGAAAAGGTGAACTTGAGCCAGTTCTGGATTGTTACTGATAATGTGGTCTGCCAGGATATGGATAAACTTGGATTTTTCTTCTCTTCTTGTGAAGACCAGTTTTGGTGACCTCCAAGGAAGCTGCCACCTTTACTGGGGGTACAGTTTGATTCCAGGCTTTGCAGTGTGGTTGCTCTAAGGAAGTTTGCAAGCACACTCTGATAGGAGATGGTGAACGCTACCAAGGGTTACTTACAGTCCTCTTCTGAGCCTCTGCTGCTGGTCGGGGGCAGGAGACTCATGAGCAGGGATGGTTTTGGGTTGACTCTGCAAGGGTGTTTGTACTGTAGGTTTTCCAAACATGTAGCTTTAATGTGATGAGTGTGTTGAAGAGATGAAACGTGATGTGTGTGAACTGTGGTAGCTCAGGGAGTTGTGTTTGTGGGCGAGCACAAATCCTCGAGTAGCTGGGCCGTATTGACTCTTCTCTGTTCTTTAACTCTGGAGGTAATGGTCTCAGTAATAGACCACTACACGGTCCATAAAACAATGGTCCAAGAAGTCACTTGCCACTTGATTAGATATTGTAGAAGAATTTTACAGTGCTGATTTATTAGGCATTCCTATGGTCAAAGTCCAGGCAGGGTAACTTACTGTAAACTGGTCGTGGTGTCCCTTTCGGGTTCCTCTCCAAAGTTCTCACTAGAGTTGCTGTTTTACAACAGTTGTGTTTCACCTCAGAGTTGGTAGTGTTCCACTGAGGAGTAAGCTGTTAGTCTTACTTTATTTTTCTTACATTCTTTATAATGCACTTTGGGGCCTTTGACATGGAAAGATGCTATTATAGTCTCTCAGTTTCTTGAGAGGTGAAGAATGAGCCGCAGTCTTAACACAATATTCTTGTTGGTCTGTGGTGATTATTATGGTAACATGAGAGTGCTCCAAAGTTCTTGCTTCCAGTCAAATACAGAAATAATGACTTTTTCAGATGAATGTTTCTGGGAAGGAAAGGAGACAGAGAAGTTCTGTGCTGGACTCCAGGCAGCCATTTGCAAGGATTTGAAGTGCTTCAGATGCTCTATCCGTGGTTATCAGTAGGATTCTGCCCGTTAGGAGTGTGTGGTCTTAGGTCACCTCTGCTCTGCCAGTCAGTATTTGATGAATTCTTACGTGATGGGGCCAGAAGGTAGCG